TGAGCCGAGATTGCGCCACTACACTCCAGCCTGGAGACAGAGCAAGACTTCGTCTCAAAAAATAAATAAATAAATAAAAAAGCAATCCTGGCATGACCTGACTCTGCCTGCCACCTCTGTTCTTTTTGTCTTGCTCATTGTGCATCGGGCATCTGGGCTTCTTTTTTGCTCCTGTAAATACCAAGTCGTTTCCCTCTTCAGGACCATTGCACATGCTCTTCTCTGCCTGAAATGAACTTCCACATCTTCTGCCATAGCTGCATTTTTGTCATGTTTCAGACCTCAGCTCACACATCATCTCTGCAGAGAAATTCTCCCTTATCCTGTGAAGGTGGAATCATCCTCCTCTGCATTGCCTCGTCCTGTCTCGTTCTCTCAAAGCAGATATGACACTCAAAAATCAGCTTGTTATTTATTGAATTGCTTGTCTGAATGTTCTCCTCCCAAACTCACCCTGAATCAGAACAGAAACTCCCTATGGCAGGAGTCTCATCTTGTTCCTTCTCAGAAGCTAATCTAGTAATTGCACATAGTAGGCACACAATAAATGTTATTAGAATGAACAAGTATTAAGGTGCTGGTCAAGTTGGCTCATGCCTATAATCTCAGTGCTTTGGGAGGCCAAGGCAGGTACAGGAGTTTGAGACCAGCCTGGCCAACATGGTGAAACCCGTCTCTGCTAAAAATACAAAAATTAGCTGGGTGTGGTGGTGCAAACCTGTAATCCCAGTTACTCGGGAGGCTGAGGCAGGAGAACTGCTTGAACCTCGGAGGTGGAGGTTCCACTGAGCCAGAGGTTGCAATGAGCCAAGAATGTGCCACTATACTCCAGCCTGGGCAACAGAGTGAGGCTCCACCTCAAAACAAAACAAAACAAAACAAAACAAAAAGGTAAAAGGTATGAATAAGTATCAAGGAAGGGAGATTTTGTGATTTGCCACCTTTTCATGGAAATTCTACTTAACATTGACATTTTCTATCTGATGGTATTTCTATAATAGGAAATTGAAACTGTGTTAATTAAAAAAAAAAAAATTAGGCTGGGCATGGTGATTCATGCCTGTAATCCCAACACTTTGGGAGGCTGAAGTGGGGGAATCAGGTGAGGCTAGGAGTTTAAGACCAGCCTGGGCAACATACAGAGACCCCTGTCTCTGCAAAAATAACTTTTATTTAACCAGGTGTGCCAGGTGCAGTGGCTCACACCTGCAATCCCAGCACTTTGGCAGGCTGAGGTGGGTGGATCACCTGAGGTCGAGTTTGAGACCAGCCTGGTCAACATGGCAAAACTCCATCTCTATTAAAATACAAAAAAATAGCAAGATACGGTGGTGAATGCCTGTAATCCCAGCTACTCAGGAAGCTGAGGTGGGAGAACTGCTTGAATCTGGGAGGCAGAGTTTGTAGTGAGCCAAGATCAGACCATTGCACTCCAGTCTGGGCAAGAGTAAAACTCCATCTTGAAAAAAAAATTAACCACATGTGGTGGCATGTGTCTGTAGTCCCAGCTCCTCAGGAGGCTGAAATGGGAGGAGAACTTGAGACTAGGAGATAGAGGCTGCAGTAAGCCATGATTTCACTGCTGCACTCCAGCCTGAGTGAAAGAGCTACACCTTATCTCTAAAAACAAAAACAAAGCAAAAAAAAAAAAAAAAAAAGGCGCTGTAGCTCACACCTGTAATCCCAGCACTTTGGGAGGCCGAGGTGGGTAGATCACCTGAGGTCAGGAGTTTGAGAACAGCCTGGCCAACATTGTGAAGCCCTATTTCCACTAAAAAATACAAAAATTAGCCCAGCATGGTGGCAAGTGCCTGTAATTTAGGCTACTTGGGAGGATGAGGCAAGAGAATTGCTTGAACTCGAGGGGTGGAAGTTGCAGGAGATGGAGGGGCAAGAGTGGGAGCATGACATCTAGTGAGGAGTTGTCATATCAACATCTTTTGATCACTCCAGGCCACGTTTTGAGTGGGGCCTCTGCAAAAAAGTGACCAGGCTCAGATGCCTTAATTCTGACACTCAGTGCTGGTGGAAGCCCTGTGAGGTCACACTGTGGTGGCTTCTTGGGAAAGTGTTGGCTCTTGAAAATCAACATTTTGGTTTTTTCCTTTGATGCTGGAGACAATGACCTGTTTCTCCTCATATGTCTGCTCAAGATAGTTACAAATTTAGTAAAGATGGGGTTTCACCATGTTGGCCAGGCAGGTCTTGAACTCCTGACCTTAGATGATCTGCCCCCCTTGGCCTCTCAAAGTGCTGGGATTACAGGTGTGAGACACTGCACCCCACCCTTCTTCCATTCTTGCTCAATTTTTCCTTTTCTTCTCTCTCTTTCTGCCTCCTTATTTTTTCCTTGATATCCTGGAAACCACAGGGAATATATATGAATCGTAATTCCAAGGGCAATTTAAAAATTTTTTTTAGAGAGAGGGTCTTGCTCTGTCACTTAGGCTGGAATGTAGTGGTGAGATCTCGGCTGACTGCAATCTCCACCTCCTAGGCTCAAGCGATCCTCATGCCTGAGCCCCCAAAGTAGCTGGGACTACAGGTGTGCAGCACTGCACCCAACTAATCTGAAAAAAATCATTTTTGGAGCAATGGAGTTTTGCTATTCTGCCTGGGCTGGTCTTGAACTCCTGGAGGATCAAATGATCCTCCTCCCTTGGGTTCCCAAAGTGTTAGGATTACAAGAATGAGTCGCTATAGCTGGCCACTTTTTTAATGGAGAAGAGTCCAAGAAACACTATCTCTGATAAAAACACGAGTAAAACTCTTGAAGTGTCGCTTTTCTTCACTCTCCATTTTTTCCCTTTCCTTGTCTCTTAACATCAAATTTCATTGAATACCTCTAGATACAACTGTCCAATTCTCCTCCTTTTTTTTTTTTTTTTTTCTGAAGACATAGTGTTGCTCTATCCCCCAGCCTGTAGTGCAGTGGAGCGATCTCAGCTGACTACAGCCTCTGTCTCCTGGGTTCAAGCAATTCTCATGCCTCAGACTCCCCTGAGTTCCTGGAATTATAGGTGCCAGCCACCATGCCTGGTTAATTTTTGTATTTTTAGTAGAGAGGGGTTTCACCATGTTGGCCAGGCTGGTCTCTTAACTTCTAATCTCAAGCAAATGCCTGTAGTGCCAGCTACTTGGGACACTGACACAGGAGAATAGCTGGTGTCCTCTAAAGTGGAGACATTTCTATTCTATGTTGGGCTAAGATCTTGGAGAATGCAGGCAGGGAACAAGTTTTGCCGGTTTTCCAATGAGAGACCCCTGTGGTAAGAGAGGCTCTTCTCTCTCTACCTGGTGAGTTACTTCCTTTCTTTGGTACTCAATTTTCTCAGGTTTAAAATTAGGGAGCCAGGCACCGTTGCTCACACCTGTAATCCCAGCAATTTGGGAGGCCAGTGTTAGCAGATCACGAGGTCAAGAGATCAAGACCATCCTGGCCAACATGGTGAAACCTTGTCTCTACTAAAAATACAAAAATTAGTCCAGAATGGTGGCAGGTGCCTGTAATCCCAGCTACTCAGGAGGCCGAGGCAGGAGATTCTCTTGAACCTGGGAGGTGGAGGTTGCAGTGAGCCGAGATTGTGCCACTGCACTCAAGCCTGGGAAACAGAGTGAGACTCCATCTAAATAAATTAATTAATTAATTAAATTAAATAGGGAAGTAAAACCACATGTCCCCTAGGATCCTTTCCTCTTAGTCTTTCCATGAGTTAATTAAAGAGATTTCTTTTCTTATAAGCATATCCAAAAAGGTAATCAAGGTAGGTTTCCCATGTTTTCTAGAATCTTGTAATTGCCCCAAATGATGTGGGAGCATTTGGAGGAGATGCCCTTCCTTGCTTCCTTTATTTTTTTTTTTTTTAGAGATGAAATCTCTCCCTGTCACCCAGGCTGGAGTGCAGTGGTACAATGCTGGATCACTGCAAACTCAAACTCCTGGCCTCAAATTATCTGCCAATTCCAACCTCTGGAGTAGCTGGGACAACAGGCACACATCACCATGCCCAGATAATTTAAAAAATTATTTTGTAGAGTCAGGGTCTCACTATGTTACCCAGGCTGGTCTCAAACTCCTGGCCTCAAGTGATCCTTCTGCCTCAGCCTCCCAAAGTGCTGGGATTACAGGTGTGAGACATGGTGCCTGGACCTTCATTGCTTTTTAATAACCTTAATTACTTTCTTTTGAAGACCTTTTTTAATTATTAATTTTTTTCCTTCCCCACCTACTTCCCGAATATCTTTAGAACTACAGTGTTTTTGTCTTTTGAGGCTAGAGTTGAAGCTGATTTCCATAAATAGTCATTTTGAGTCAAGTCTTTTGAATAAAGTGAGTGGCCAGAGATGATGACACAATTTTGGCTAAAACAGTTTCCGAGAGAGCACACTGTGAACTCTAAAATGTGTGTGCCAGTCACTGGGCCACAGTTCACTCATTTTGCCAAACTCAGAATTGCAAATGAAAATTATTTATTTATTTATTATTTTTTTTTTGTTTTAGATAGAGTCTCACTCTGTCACACAGGCTGGAGTGCATTGGCATGATCTCAGCTCACTGTAACCTCTACCTCTGCGTTCAAGTGATTCTCCTGCCTCAGCCTCCCAAGTAGCTGGGATTACAGGCATGTACCACCACGCTTGGCTAATTATTTATTTATTTATTTATTTTGAAAATGACTCTTGCTCTGTTGCCCAGGCTGGAGCGCAGTGGCCCGATCTCAGCTCACCACAACCTCTGCCTCCCTGGTTCAAGCCATTCTCCCTGCCTCACCCTCCCAAGTAGCTGGCTAATTGTATTTTTAGTAGAGACAGGGCTTCACCATGTTGGCAGATGGTCTCGAACACCTGACCTCAAGTGATCCACCCACCTCAGCCTCCCAAAGTGCTGAGATTACAGGCATGAGCCACTGTGCCTGGCCAATTTTTTCTAATATCAAAGGAATTACTAGGGTCTTCCCTTTCTTTTGATTCATTTATTTTTTTGATTCTGAAATATTATTTAAAATATGGAATGCTTTACGAATTTGTGTGTCATACTTTGTCAGGGAGCATGCTCTTCTTCTCCATGTCATCCAATTTTAGTATATATACTGCGGAAGTGAGCACTGGTTCTGTGTTTATTTATTTGTTTGTTTGTTTGTTTGTTTTTGAGACAGGGTTTCACTGTGTCTTCCAGGCTGGAATACAGCGACGTAATCGTGGCTCACTGCAACCTCTGCTTCCCAGGGCTCAAGCAGTCCTTTTACCCGGGCCTTTCAAAGTGCGGAGATTACAAGTGTGAGCCACTGTGCGCAGCCTGCAATGTTTAACTGCTGACTTTGATGCCTAGTTTTGGTTGTGCTAGACACTCCCACTACTTTTTTCTGTAAAAATTACTGGTTTGTTCAGCTCCTTCAAAAGATCTTTGGTGTTTTTTACTCCCTAATATGTGAAGCCAGGTGTGGTGACTGTAACCCCAGCATTTGGGAAAGCCAAGGTGGGAGGATCTCTCAAGGCCAAGAGTTCAAAATCAGTCTGGGCAACACAGTGAAATGCCTGTCTCTACAAGAACTAAAAAATTAGCTGGGCATGGTGGCACATGCATGTAGTCCCAACTGGTGGAAGGCTGAAGGCAGGAAGATCACTTGAGCCCAAGAGGTTGAGGCTTTAGTGAGTTATGACCATGCCAGGACACTCCAACTTGGGTGACAGTGAGACCCTGTCTCAAAAAAAAATTAATAAGTGCAGAAGCATTTTCTATGCTCCAGGTTACTTTAAAAATCAGGCCTATGGCCGGGCATGGTGGCTCACGCTTGTAATCCAAGCACTTTGGAGGCCAAGGCGAACGGATCATCTGAGGTCGGGAGTTCAAGACCAGCCTGATCAACATGGTGAAACCCCATCTTTAAAAAAATAAATAAAAGGAGAATATAGCCATTTAGGAACAGCTCGGGATTGCAGCTCCCAGTGAAAGCGCGGAGGGTGAGTGGACGCCGCATTTCCATATGGATTTTCATTGGCCACAGACCAGGAGATTCCCAGGCGGAGGAGCCCCATGGGTCACCAGCGTGACTGTTTTGGCCAGCGCAGCTGTTGTGGCCTACGTGGTCGTTCGGTCCCCGCAGCTGTTTTCGCCCCCGTGGCTGCTTTGCAGTGCCCCGGCATGGCAGTTCTCTGTACAAAATACACTGGTCTGGGTGCCCATTTGGCTGGCGATTGGAGCCCTGGGAATGAGCAGTCGCCCATTCATCTGACTAAAGGGGATTCTGAGGCAAGGAGTCAGGCCAGGAGATTCCCGGGCAAAAACAAACAAACAAACAAACAAACAAACAAAAAGGCCCCATGAATCTCAGTGCCGCTGTTTCAGCCGGCGCACTGAGTCGCCGTAGGGGAAATCACATAGACCCCTGCACCTTTTCAACAGGCAACTGGAACTCCTGGGAGAGAGTCGACCCTTCAACTAGAGAACAAAAGGCTCTGAGGCAGGGAGCCAGGTGATCAGGCTCGACTGGTCCCAACCCTACAGAAGAACAGCAACTGGAAACTCTTTGGATTGAGAGTTTCACAGCAAGCACAGCTGAACCCGGGAGGGGCCAGCTCTGTGGGGGAGGGGCGTTCGCCATTGCAGAGGCAGCCTGCCATTGCAGAGGCAACCCACAGTTGCCAAGGCAACCTGCCATTACAGTGAGAGTCCGCCATTACAGAGGTGGGCCACCAATGCTGAGACAGTTCTAACTACACCCATATAAACAGGACTGCAGGGAAGTTCACACTACAGCTAAGCAGAGCCCACAGCAGCTCAGCAAAGCCTCTGCAGGCAGACAGTGACTAGGCTGCCTCATTGCTGTGCAGGGCAGCCCTGAAAAAAAAAAAAGGCAGCAGCACAATGGAAACTCATAAATAAAGTCCTAACTCCCTGGGACAGAGCACCTGGGGGAAAAAAAGGTGTTTATGAGTTCTGCTGCAGCAGACCTAAACATACCTGCCCAGCAGCCCTGAATGAAAAACGGAGCTCATAACTCAGCACTTAAGCTCATGTAAAGGACAGACTGTCTCCTCAAGCAGCTCCCTGACCCCTGTATATCCCAAGAGTCGCCTCATAAAGGAGAGCTCAGACTGACAACTGGAGAGTATCCTTCTGGGACAAAGATAGCAGAAAAAGAAACTGGCAAAACCCTTACTGTTCTGCAGCTGCTGCAGGTGACCCCCAGGCAAGCCGGGCCTGGAGTGGACCTCAGCAGTCCTACAGCAGAGGGGCCAGACTGTTAGAAGGAAAACTAAGAAACAGAAATAACTTCATTATCAACAAATTGGATGTCCACTGAGAGACCCAATCTGAAAGTCAGCAACTACAAAGATGACAGGTGGATAAATCCACAAAGATGGGAAGAAACCAGCACAAAAAGGATGAAAACACCAAAAACCAGAACACCTCTCCTCCTACATGGGTTCACAACTCCTCACCAGCAAGGGAACAAGACAGGATGGAGAATGAGTGTGATGAAATGACAGAATCAGACTTCAGAAGGTGGGTAATAAGGAACTTCCGTGAGCTAAAAGAACATGTTCCAACCCAATGCAAAGAAACTAAGAACCTTGAAAAAAAGCTTTGACGAAATGCTAACGAGAATGGACAAATTAGAGAGGAATATAAGTGAGTTGATGGAGCTGAAAAACACAACACGATAACTTCGCGAAGCATGCACAAGTTTCAATAGCCAAATTGACCAAGCAGAAGAAAGGATATCAGAGGTCAAAGATCAACTCAATGAAATAAAATGAGAAGGCAAGATTAGAGAAAAAGGGGTAAAAATGAATGAACAAAGTCTCCAAGAAATGTGGGACTATGTGAAAAGACCTAATCTACGTTTGATAGGTGTACCTGAATGTGACGAAGAGAATGAATCCAAGCTGGAAAATACTCTTCAGGATATTATCCAGAAAAACTTCCTCAATCTAGCAAGGCAGGCCAATATTCAAGTCCAGGAAATACAGAGAACACCACAAAGACATTCCTCAAGCAGAGCAACCCCAAGGTACATAATCGTCAGATTCACCAGGGTTGAAATGAAGGAGAAAATGCTAAGGGTAGCCAGAGAGAAAGGTCGGGTTACACACAAAGGGAAGCCCATCAGACTCGCAGCAGATCTCTCAGCAGAAACCCTACAAGCCAGAAGAGAGTGGGGGCCAATGTTCAACATTCTTAAAGAAAAGAACTTTCAACCCAGAATTTCATATCCAGCCAAACTAAGCTTCATAAGTGAAGGAAAAATAAAATCCTTTGTCAACAAGCAAGTACTCAGAGATTTCATCACCACCAGGCCTGCTTTACAGGAGCTCCTGAAAGAGGCTCTACACATAGAAAGGAACAACCAGTACCAGCCACTCCAAAAGTAAACCAAATGGTAAAGAGCATCAACACAATGAAGAATCTATATCAACTAATGGTCAAAACAGCCAGCTAGTATCAAAATGGCAGTATCAAATTCACACATAACAATATTAACCCTAAATGTAAATGGACTAAATGCCCCAATCAAAAGACACAGACTGGCAAATTGGATAAAAAGCCTGACCCATCGGTGTGCTGTATCCAGGAAACCCATCTCACATGCAAGGATACACAAAGGCTCAAAGTAACGGAATGGAGGAAGATTTACCAAGCAAATGGAGAGCAAAAAAAAGCAGGAGTTGCAATTCTCGTCTCTTATAAAATAGGCTTTAAACCAACAAAGATCAAAAGAGACAAAGAAGGACGCTACATAATGGTAAAAGGATCAATGCAACAAGAAGAGCTAATGATCCTAAATATGTACGCACCCAATACAGGAGCACCCAGATACATAAGGCAAGTTCTTAATGACTTACAAAGTCTCTTTGTAAATGGCTGGTACTTAGACTCCCACACAATAATAGTGGGAGACTTTAACACCCCACTGTCAATATTAGACAGATCAACCAGACAGAAAATTAACAAGGATATCCAGGACTTGAACTCAGACCTGGAACAAGTAAACCTAATAGACATTTACAGAACTCTCCATCCCAAATCCACAGAATATACATTCTTCTGAGCATCACATCATACTTACTCTAAAATTGACCACATAATTGGAAGCAAATCACTCCTCAGCAAATGCAAAAGAACGGAAATCATAACAAACAGTCTCTCAGACCACAGTGCAATCAAGTTAGAACTCAGAATTCAGAAACTAACTCAGAACTGTATAGCCTCATGGAAACTGAACAACTTGCTCTTGACTGTTGACTGGGTAAACAATGAAATGCAGGCAGAAATAAAGACGTTCTTTGAAACCAACAAGAATGAAAACACAACATACCAGAATCTCTGGGACACATTTAAAGCAGTCTCTAGAGGAAAATATATAGCAATTAGTGCCCACATGAGAAGAAAGGTGAGATCTAAAATTGACACCCTATCATCAAAACTGAAAGAGCTAGAGGAGCAAGATCAAAAAAACTCAAAACCTAGCAGAAGACAGGAAATAACTAAGATCAGAGCAGAACTGAAGGAGATAGAGACACAAAAAACTCTTCAAAAAATCCATAAATCCAGGAGCTGGTTCTTCGAAAAGATCAACAAAATAGACAGACCACTAGCCACATTAACCAAAAAGAAAA